CGACCCACACCCTGTGATAACCCTTAGAGTTTGAATTGCTGGGGAAAAAGAAGCAATTAAATAATAAGACATTGCATACACAGATGCATATACAGAAATAAGTACAGCTAATCCTCACAATGCACATAGGTCCCAAACAGGAGGTGCAGTTTCAAGAGCCTCATTGCTTGTTTGAGATGTTGTCCATGCAAATCAATTGTCATCGCATTTTCTATTCCTTTGTTCCTGCAGTAGGACAAATAGCTCAGGTCAGTTGAGCATATAGATGGCAGATGCAAAGTGATAGAACACTTCCGCTGTGGGTTTGGTTAAATAAGGCACTCACCTAGCTTTAAATATATCCTGGCTCGCTTTCTCATCAGCTGCCCGGGCCAATTTAGCTTGTATCTTCCCCTACATAAATACAAGATAAATATCAACCAGCATTTATGCTGAAGAGACTGTTAGCAAAATATCACATAACACATCAATACGATGTCATGGAAAAAACACAAAACAGACAAATGCATTATATCATCCAATTCAGTAAAGATTATATCAGGAACAATCTCCCGCAAAGTAGAACACACACCTGATCAGAAAGGTAAGCTGCATATTCCCATTGCCCCTTTGAATGAGCCACTGCAGCCTGCAGGAGAATGCCACTTTTATCATAAGATGTCTTGTCAAGTACAAAATTTTAAGTTTCATAATTTACTAGAGAGATAAAAGGTGACAAATATCATACTTTCTGATAATAAGATCTCATGGAATCCCAATGCTCATTGGCTGTCTTTCTTAATACATGATATTCATCTCCCTTAGCTACATGTCAGAAAGAACCAAATATAATTGGCTATGAGTGAAATATAAAGCTAAATCATGAACATAAGACAGACAAATCAGATCTGTCCAAAAAAGGACAGACAAATGAGATAATAACAAATATTTTTGAAACGACCTAATAAAAGGAGAAGACCAGCAGGAGCTGCTGAGAGGAAACACGAACAAACAATTAGATTTAATTTCCTTCTTGAAAGTTTTCTTTCAAAATTTTCAACAAAAGAAAAGTAGAAATGATTTAACCACAGTTTCTTCTTCATATTTTGTATTGTCTTTTTTATAAAGGGGCAGAAGAGGGGCATTTCCTTGCATGCAGAGCACAAGGCACCATAATCAATCAACAATCAGATGCATGTGACAAAAGAATATGATTAAACCATGTAAGAGAACTCATATATTTGATGAATAATGCAGAAAAAATAGTCATTCACAAGTAGTGCTGGCATGTCAAAATCCCAAGATAAAATATAAGAAGTTCATACATGTTCATAGGTGGTGCAACACAACAATACATATCACAACATCATTGAGCATCTTTGTCATAGGCACTCATTCAGATAAAAATGCTGAAAATTATATGTTTATGGTCTGTTTGGCATCACTTCTAATTCCTTATCTATGTTTTGTTTCTAGAAAAACAAAATCCAAGAAAAAAAAAATTATTTGTTTAGAGTTAAGAACCAATTAATTTTGCAAATTATTACCAACAGACCCAGATTTGTACATACAGAAAAGCATGACAATTAATTTAAGAATACCATAGCTATCTTGTTGATGCTCTGCAACTCTGGAAGTACAAACATCAAACCCAGGTCCCAGTGACCTCATTTTCTTTACTACATTTCTCCAGTTCATAGTTCTTGGATCATGTTCAGCACTCTTTGGGAAGTTAAACAAAGATTCCAACACTTTTTGAGGAAGATCTGACACATTACTTGTTGGACTCATCGGAGAGACAGCTTCTGAGCTAGTACGAACCTTTGAGTAATTCCTAGAATGTAAAAAAAAATTAAGCTTTCAAGATGTGGCCTCAACTAACGTTTAAAGACAACAAAGTCATTCCCAGAAATGCAATACGGTAAACTTATCTTGGCCAAGGTAAGTCTTATGATTGTATTGTTAGTGTGAATCTCCAGTGTTATAAAACTAAAAACAACATAAAGAATACCTTATACATTAAGGTTATGGTGTTTTTAATAGATTTGCTACTGGAAGACCTGCTCCTGTGAGGGGAGATCTAGATATGATCTTATCCTTCTAAATTTATTCATAAAATTACTATTTTCTTTTCCCTTCTTTTTTGATGTCATGAAATTACTATTTTCAAGACCATAACAAGCAAACCTGTGCTTGCCACAATACACCGACATTTGAAGAATATGATGAATATTGATGATGAAGCCCCCAAAAAAGTTGAGTGTGACTGGGAAAATTTTTCAATTTTGTTTAATTGACAGATTTGATACTCTAATGCCTATTAAAAGGAAATGTCCCAAGACAAAGCTCAAAAGAACAAATAATAATAAATAAATAAAACATAATAATGGGTACAAGAAGAATAACAAGCAGAATGAATTACCTAGAGTCATAGTTAAGTGACCATATACTGTCCTGAAGTTCAGCTTCAGATGAGTAAGAGGTGCATTCCGATTCCCTATCTGTCAACTGTTACAAAAAATTTTACTGATTACTATTATATCCAGTACAGGATTGTTCCAAATGCTCCATCATAAAGAGAGGGAGGTGTCAATCTCTATTTGGACAAGACTCATAAATTACTACAACATAGGAAATAAACTATATGACTAACAATGTGAAACAAACAAATAAGGATAAAGAATTCATGGTCGAACACAAACTTCCACAGCTAGTTTGGTTGGGCCAAAAAAAAAAAAAATTCACAAAGATTCACACACATCCAAGTAAAAAGAGCTATCACTTACGTTCTCAAACTGTTCAATGATCATCCCTGCATCTTGTTGATGGTTCAGATTATCACTCCAATCCCTGGTTTGCTCGCATGATGGAGCAGACAAATCAAGTAATACATCCAAGGCCTAGAAAAAAGAGCATAAAACTTCCTAATAACATTAGCCAAAAATGTGAAAGAGAAAGAAAAAGAATAAAGTCCCTTAATTCAATAAGGAAATCGTAGCTTTTTTTTTTTTTTAATTCCTTTTCAGTTAAAGATTTGAACAGGGGAACTAACCCACCCTACCCCCATTCCTTTATTATTATTTTCATCAAAGCCCCATTCCTGTATCAGGCATTTAAAATTTCAAACTTTGACAAACAGTAATGCGTTAGATACTTAGATTCATAAAGATTAAATTTTCATCAGCATCGACAATTTAAAATGCAGATGCCATCTGCAGCTTAACCATGCCTTGAGAATAAAAGAATCAAAATAAAGTAGAAAGGAACAAACAAAAGCACCCAAGTCGAAGAGCTAATAGTACCTTTTCAACTTTGTAACCACACTGACCTGCAAAAATGATATTTCATAGCACTCAATTTCTGAATGAGATTAATCTCAGTTAACATTTTATATAATTGAGTCTGAAAAGGAGTATCCTGGTAAATTGTACACAACCGAGACAACCAAGCAAGCACCTTTGATCGTAAAATTTTACTCAGCTCCTATTTGGTGTTGAGAAATCGTAGCTGAATTGTATGAAGAAAATTGTATTCCAAAACACTTACATAAAACATCTCTAACAACAGCCATACTGAGGTCACATTCATCATCAAGCATCGAGCATAAGAACTGTTCAGCCTTCTCCTTGTTCAAAACCCCATAATCCTTCATTACTCTATTCTTCGAGTGCTGCCTCGGGCTGGCCCTCGCGTACTCTTTACCAAGCACCGTTGACACGGTCCCCGTTGCTGCCACCACTCGCTTCTGCTGCTTGCCCCTTCCAGTCACGGCGTTCTGCACGCAACCCGTCTCCATAAGGTCCGACCCAGAACTCCATGAGGATCCGCTCGTTGATGGATCTGGACCCTCGCTCTTGGTATCTCCATCTAACAAACTCGACAGAATCTCCACGGCTTTGTTCGGATCCCCGTCGGCTTGTTTGTACGCAGACGCCGCTTCTTCGAGAGAGACGGAATCAAAAGCCTCCATCAACCAATCAAGGATTCTCGCTTCCTCTTGCTGATCATGTTCCTGTCCGTGCAGCTGCTGCTGCTGCTTGTCATTTGTCGCAACATTGGAGGAGGGGGCCTTGGGAGGACGCGGTCGCTTTTTCTTCTTCTTCGCAGATTGCTTCATGGTTAGCGATCACCGCTGCGTAAATCAAAGGCGGAGATCTAGCGTGAACGGATCGAGCTGGAGATTTTCCGATGGGGGTGGTCGTGGTAGTGAGAGGCGAAACCTGAAAATCGAAACCCTAAGTTGAAGGAGACGAGGGTGAGAAGGGGAAAGAAAAAGGAAATGAGGGACGAAAGTGAATATTTCAGAAATAATAAGTCCTGGCGGATCGGATGAGGAAGATAGTTTTGGATTCCTTTTTGACTTTTCGACGTTATTATCGTTTTACAACCATAATTTTGGAGAATCTCTGTCTGCCCCATTCTCCTAAACTCGCGCGTTTCGCAGGCGAGCATGAATACCGTATCGTACTATTTTCTTAGAGAAGATAACCCAAAAACGCGTCTGTTTTTTTTTTGGTACATCAGAAAACGCGTCTCTTCGCATGTCACAATCAGAATAAATAAATATAATTTAATGGTTAAAATATTAAAGTTTTAAATTGAAAATTTTAAGTTTAAATTTTAATAGGGTAAAGAGAGATTTAGGGAGTTGATTAACAGATTTTGATTTTAAGATTTAAAAATATAATTTTGTTAAAATTTGTGAAGGAAAATTTTGTTATTTATTGAGTCTTACCTCATTTGAATCCGAATTAATGAATGGTTCGATGAACTTTCAGAAATCAGGTGATTCATATAAAAAAAAAAATTTAGGAAAATGAGAGAATTTTTTTTTTTGTATAACTCATTCATATATATAAAAAACCACAATAAATAAATAAAATTTACGGTGGTGATATAAAAATAATTTTTTATTAATTTTTAATATAATTTTTACATATTATTAAAAAATAAATATATTTAATATTATGAGTTTTGAATAAATAAAAAAAATTAATCATGCACCTGACCCTTGCGACCTAGTGGCAATAGCCATCTCGGTGCATTCCCCCTTTCACGGACTGGGTTCGAAACCCGCCCTTTGCAAATATATTCAAAAAAAAAAAATTAATCATAATTATTTTTCTAAATCTAATGTACTAAACAGAGAATTTTAGTATTGGTGCTCTTTTATTGAACGGTCGTTGTAGGAAGAGGACTTTAAGTGGGAACGGTAAGAGTCACAGAATCATGTCGGCAACAGGAAAGAACAAAATCATGTTGCAAATTGTACAACCGTGAAAGAAAAGTGGAAAGTGAAAATTATCATGCTTTGGTATTTTTAATGTTAAAATTTTTTGGGAAATTATTTAATATTATTTAATTCTCTAATAAATTTTTTATGTTAATTTATTAAAAATATTTTAATTTTTTTATTGTTTTTTTAACATTGATTTTCTTTAATCTTATAAGTTAAAAGCAAATGGAAATATAGAAAATTATAGTTTTAATGAATTGATGTGGTATTATTATATGATTAATTATTTTTAAAAAAATTTATCTGTGATTTATAAACATTTATTTAACAACATTTCATAATTTTAAATTTATGCCCTTAGATAATATTATAGCAATATTATTTCTTATGGAAATATAATTCTTCTTAAACTTTTTAATGCTTGTGTAGATTATAAAGGAAAAGTGTTTTGCCTAACGTCTCTTTTAAAGACATCTTAAAAAATCATATTATAATTAATATTTTTAAAAACCAACAATTAAATTAAAAATTTTATTTATATAAATCATATATGTCAAGTTTCAAATTAATCTAATTAGGTTAATCAGTTCATTAATTACTCAAAGTTTAATATGGTTAAATAAATTTCAGTACATAAAATTGTTTTAATCAAATAATTATAAATATAAAGTTAATTTAAAAATTAACATATATAAACTGCATACATATAATATTTAATCTAATAATTAATTTTTAAAAATATTAATTGAAGGCTAAATTTTAAGGCATATCTTTTAAAATAAAATTTAAGAGTACGGGCTTGCTCTATTTTAATCCATATTATATTAATAAATGAATACTTTTTTATGTTTAAAGAAATAAATACTTATTGATTTACACTTGACACGTAAAAGAATCAATCATAAATATCATACCATCAATATAATATAAATAGAGTAAAAAATAATTATGCGTTTATCATTTACAATTGACACTGCCTTGTGTTGCATCCAATAAAATATGTGTGACATGTCTAGATAAATCTCACCTCTATAAAATATGAGAGAAATATTAGGTGCATAATTTATCATTGGCTATCTCTTATGGAACGTTTTAAAATCGTAAAAAGGTATTTTAGAATACCTTTTATTTTTTGTGTGTGATGAGTTCTAGGGCTAACAATGAAATTAGCCCTTTGTAATTAGTAGAGACAAGAAGATCGTCATACGTTTCCCAGCTACCAGGACTCAAACCTTTGCTGTTGGACAGGAAGAACAGACAATTATTTTCCACCGTCCAACCACTAAGGTATGAGAGCTCTGGTAATCTAACTAATAATTTTCTTTCGTTAAAAATAAGAGATTTTAAATTTGAATCATACGACATGCAAATAAAGTAAAATAAATAATGACAAAAGAATTATTTTTCATTATACAACTAATATATATACAAAAACAAAAACAGAAAAAACTGCAAGACTTGAAGAGTTAAAGCAGCTGTTATCAATAACGATTTAGGTTATTACAATTTGGTACCTATAAGTGTAGGTCTAAGATCAATAATCTTTGACATATTACGAACATATTACTAAGATTGCTAGTCACCTTTCTCGAGTCAGATTCGACCTTAAATCATTCAATCGACCTAAATTGAGTTCTTTCCAATTGCATGATAATTATGATCTATAGTACAATCGTACTTATCTAATTTCAATTTTTGAGATATTTGCTCTGATGGCCACGTTAGATTCCAGTTATCTCGTTAAAAAACTCATTAAGACTTATAAATACCCTCAAGGATCACTTATTATAGGTAATTAAAACTGACTTGGAACTTTCTTTTTATTCTCTTTCGAGTAAAGTAGATTATTGTTGATTTAAGTATCGAAGTATCTTCCGTAAGGACCAACCTCAAGACTTTACAAATCAATTCGAAGAGAAGGTTTGGCCCAAAGGTGACTTGAAGGTTTGTTGCAACTACAATACCAATACATTTATGTAAGCTCCCATTCCAGGGAATTTCATGTCCCCATCCTCCTTAGGTCCAATCTGATTAATCATATACGGGTATAGTAGATTATTGCTAACTTAAGTATTAGAGTGTCTCTTTTGAGAACCAATTTTATGGTTTTGCAGGTCAACTTGAAGAGAAGATTTAGACCAAAGGTGACTCAAAGGTTTGTTGCAATTATGGTACCAATACATTTATGTAAGCTCCCATTCCATGGAATTTCATGTCCCCGTCCCCCTCAGGTCCAATCCGATTAATCATACACAAGTAATCTACTTTCTCTGTACTGAGCTGAATATATAACTACAATTGCTTTGATTGTTTCCTCTATTTGCCTGCCGTTTTTTCGGATGGTTCTTGATTTTTAGAAGAAAAACAAGTCAATCTAGACAATTTTGAAGTTTGATCATTAACAATAACAGATCCAAGAACAACATTCTCTTCATATTTATTAGTAAATATATATATATATATACATATGTATGCTACTCCCTCAGACAACCTACATTTTTCTAACTGGCTTCATTTATCATTGGTTTCTAAATTATGAT